TATGAACATTCTCCAATCCAATTTTTTTTAGCGAAAATAAACTCGAAACATGAAGCATTGCCTCGATTCTATTAGGCGCTCTTGATTGTTCCATATCGACCTCTTGCCCGAAGTTACTCTTATTGCGACAATACAGCATAAAGAAGTCACCCCATAACACCGTAATAACACCATCCATAAAAACCTTCAATGGATAAACTACTTCTAATGTTGGTCCAATTAGCTCTGTCATTTTTCCGAGGACAAATTCTCGAGTCCACGATTTCTCCACTCCATATTCTTTCATAACCCAGATGTTAATCTCTAAAAACGAAGTATTATCGCATAAACACAGTCGATCCTGTAAAACTCCGAGACTCACCAGAAGTCCTCGCCTGCCTAGAAATGGAGATGGGAATGGTCGAAACGCTTCCTTCTCAAGATCAAAACATGAAATTAATTCATGAGTCTCTTCTGTTAAATCTTGAATCAACCAATGAACATTCCCGTTGAAAAACAACCCAACAGAACGACAGCGGCCACCATACGCAAAATTCAGCATATTTTCATTAATAGTTCTCCACGATCGAGTTCCTAGAGTGTAAACCTGACATTCGGACCGCGGAATTCTTATGCATGCTTGGCTAATCGGGTCAAGAACCTGGTCGTGACAAACTCGAACCACTTTGTATTCACCAGCTACTCTGCTTACCCCGAATCCATACGTGACTATGCTATGACACCGAACGACTCCCTCAGGATCCGGGAGCCTTATATATTCCCTCGTAATGGGATTACAAACGTAAACAGTTTCGTGTTCGTAATTTGTATCCCTCAAGCACAACAGGCCATTAACAGAGCCATCGAGAACTATATTTGCATCTGTGGATTCACTCAGCCTCTTGAGATCAAATTTCACAAGTGAATCTTGATCAAGATCGTGGCGATCAATCTTATCTTCAAAATCCACTAACTTCAAGTAATTCTTGAACATTTCAATTTGATGGACAACGAGGCCTGGACGAGCACGAGCAATGGCCAAATGCAAGGCTACAAATTGAGGGTCAGATAATATCTCGAGCCAGGTTTTGCACACGCATTTGCATCGGAATACGGCTCTGGCAGGGAGCCTAGACAGAATCTCAACCAAAATTTCTGATGGGAGGTTCATTAAGGACTGTTTTCTGTATTTGCAGTTTACGGAATTCATCGTGTGAGACTGTAGGTAATATATTTGTTTTCCGTTACTTGAGTTTGTGTTTCTTTATAGATGTGGTTGTTGCTTTAAACCTGCCTGCCAACAAGGAAAATTCGGAGACGGCACCTCAACATTGTTCCAGGTGTCACGTCTAAGTTTCTTGTTCGAGAAGAACGAGGCGTGTGCGTGTACAGGTGGAGAGTGAACATGATGGACGCGTGTATGTATAGGGTTAAAGGTGTCATAGGTCTCCAAAATTTGAAATTAAAACATAACTATAAAGTATAACCACCAAACTAACTCAAAATACAACGGCAAAATCAAATCTTCAGTGTGGAAGAGAAAAGTTAAAACAACGTTGCACAGGAAAACGAATTTATTACTGATTCATTAAAATTAATTTCTGATTCCCGAAATAAATTATTTTTTCATCTTGAATTTTCTTATAAGTAGCAAGTGAGGTTGTCTTGCCACATCGAGAAATTTTTATTTTGCCAATTGTACGTAGGAGATCAATTTCATTGAAATCAACGTCCACTTAAATGTTTGCCAAGATTGCAAAATTAGTTTTCGATTTTACATGATCACTTATTAATATTTTTTCAATATTTTTATCCCATTTATGCTATTTGCCTTTGAAATTTTTTAGTCATATCAATGTTTGTGTGTGTGTTACGTTTCTCTATTTCCACCCTTTTCGCAGTGCTTTAGAACCTAACCACATGGAAACGTTGAGTTACATTTGGGAAACTAGACGATGTAACATGTAAGGACAAATGCTTTACTAAAAGCAAGTGTTGCTTTTAAAACCTTAGAATCAACCTCAACGAAAATTGAGGTCCAAGTTTTGAACTAGCGTACCTTCAAAGCAAGTGTTGCTTTTAAATTAGAAAACTCTTCTCCACACATCATGTTTTCTCAAACATGGGAAAAATATTTTTTTCTTTCTTTTCAACTACATTTTTTTCAATAAAATAATATTACACGTAAATTCAAAATTTTTCATTATTTTTTAACTACACATTCTCCATCAATCTATTATTTCAAATTACGTTAGTTGTTACATGCCTCTTTGATAGAATTTATTTGAGAATAATGAGTTATGAAATAATATTTATTAAAGAATGTGTGGTTCAAATGTAAGAAAATTTCATTGGTTTGTATGTAGAATATTTTATTGTGCAAATGTGTGATGAAGAAATGATACTGTAGCAAACAATTTAATTTTTTAAATGATGACAAAAGATGCCTAAAAATGGGGCTCAAACATGCTATAAAAAGTAAAAGACACCATTGGAGATGCATCGAAAGATAATGATTTGGAGAAAACGTGAAGTTAACTTAAATATCAAGTACAATTTGAATGCACGCAGGGGCGGACCCACTAAGGGGCCAACGGGG